GCTCTAGTTTTATTTACTAATATAGTCCGAGAATTTGATACAACTGATTTGCCTCCCAGAGACATTCTTGAAAATCTAGGTACAAAATTTAAAAAACTGCTTTTATACCTAATTTTAAAACATCTAAAAATACCGAATTTCCAGTGTTTTTATTATTTAACGTTTCAAATTGTTTTGCAATTTCTCTAGCTTTAGAAATTCCTGGACAAGCAATTATAATATTATTTATTTTCTTCTACATCTAAGATTGGGCTGTGAATAATGTTTAATTATGAGAAATAAAAATTACAAATGCAATAATTAATGCCACTATATAGAGACAGAAGAAAATTATTTAAAAATATATATATCCCCATTTAAAGAAATCTAATGGTGTTAAATCCATATCAATTTAAATCAATGTCCAAATTAATTTAATTTGGACATTGATTTAAAAATAAAAATTTAAATATATTTCCATGCATAAAATTAGATCTATCAATTAAATTATAAAACGGAAAATATGTGAACTTCTTTCTATCGGAATTTTGTATTTTAAAAATCTCCATTTTAATGTTTGATTAGTTGACTTGCAGATATAAAAGAAAAAGAAACAATTATTTTCACATAAATAAATCTTTTTTTTTCAAGGGCCGGTATAATAAACAGGAATCTAACTAAAAAAAAGTTTATTGTAAAAACTGCATACATACACTTCAGTTTCAGCTCTTGCGCATTCCTCGCTTCTTCTTTGCTAAAACATTTATAAAAAATGAAGAACATTTGAGCTTGAAGGAAAAAAAGCAAATAAATAGCAGGAGATAGAGCAGCCGTGGCGCAGTTGTAGCGCACTTGCCTCATAAGCAAAGGATGCGTGGTTCAAACCCAACCGCTGGGCAAGTTTTCGACATTGGTTAGAAAGGAGGTGTGAAAATCCTATAAAATGCTCATCCGCGGTGCTCTGTGACAAGGCCGTAAGAACTTCTTAGATCACTCAAATAAAAATTAAAATAAAAAAAGAAGAAAAAGAATTTTTTTGCAACTATTGAAGTTATGTTTGATTTTTTTTGGCTGCATGATTTCAGTAAAGGTATACCTTTACTGCAAATCAGCATCATCTTTCAAATTTCGCTTAACTTGAGTTTTTTTTTTGTCGATATGTTTGCTTGAGCTATGCATCACTTTGACTTTGTTTGGTGTTAATGTTAGAATTTTTGCTTATCCTGACTTTTATTCTCTGCTTCCTGTTTTCTTTAATAATCTTAGAACTGGCAAACTATAGAATGACAACGACATATTTAAGTTGGGCTGTAAGGAAAGGTTTTTTCGCATCCTTGGCTGTTGTATCCAGAGCAGAGTCTTCTCTTCCGTATGTTGAAGAATCTTGCTGTTCTTTTTATTTAACCTCTAAAAAGTCTTCTTTTTGAAATATATCTCTTCAAACTGGATACAAGCCTGTTGTTTTAAAGCCATTAACGGCTCTTTCTCTAGAATGGACTTTCAACTATGCCCTTCTAAATAGTTTACTGACGTAAAATTGTGTGACAAGCCGCTTGAAAATATTTTTCAAGAACTTATCAGCGTTTTTATAATGAAAAAGTTTTTCATTATAAAAATGGTCTAACGTGTCCATAATAGGTTTATTCAGGGATTGTAGTTTGTGTGTCGTATGTGGCAGTAAACATAAAATTTTAACAAACTGCTCACTGGCAGATAAAATTAGGTCTAAATCCTTAGTGTGGATTAGCTGTCCATTACTTACGTCAACATTTTTTTTACCAATTTTATCTTTCCCTCCTCCTAGTCAATAACTTATCAAACTTCCAGAGACCCTCCCTATAAAAATACGTCAACACTCGATAACCCTCCCCCCTCCCTAGAATATTATTTTTTAATTTAAATTATTAGTTGTTGTTTTTTTTTATCTTTTCCTCCGTTTACTTAAATTAATTTTTTTCAGATAATTGTTAAATAATCAATTGCCTTTAATAAAAAATGAATTATTATTTAAAAATTTTTTAATTAATCTAAATAATTTTTCTTAATTTTTCTTGTTTTGCTTTACATATTAAATGATTCAATTGTGATGATAGTGTTAAATATTTATTATAATTTATGTGCATCTCAGAGTCACAATCCGTGATTGTGCCAATCCTCCCAACTTTAACTTTAGGTCTAATCCAATTTCACACTGAAAGCCAATTATTTATAATAGATTCTAGTGTTAAAAAATGCATTAAAAAAGTTGTATAAACTAAGCGTTGGCAACCTTTTGAGACGAAAGAGCCAAAATTTACAATGTACAAAATTTTTCAGTTTATAAAGAGCAACCAAAATCTTTATTTTAATATTATATTAATATTTGTACATGGAACTGTAGAACCGCATCTTGACATCGAAAGAACTATATGAATCTTGCGAGCTGCAGGTTACCGACTCCCGATATACATATTTAGATAATATAATGTAGACTATGTATTTACGTAAACCATTTTAATTTGCAGAGCAGACTTACCAGCAACAATTCTGAAAAAACAATAGTGTTGCGAGTAAGCATCTCGTGTGTGCTTATTTGGTTCTGTATGTGTCGGGTCATTTTAAAGCACAACACAATTTTTAAAAAGAAGGAACATAAATAGCTTTATTAAAATATTGAAGGTTGAGCGAGTGTGTGACTGCAAATGCTGCCTAATTTTCTTTATGTTTATATTAACTAAATTTATTTAAAAAATAACATTGTTGACGTCAACTTGCCCAAACCACTTCCTCCCCCTTGCCAACAATTGTCAAAAAAATTGAGACCCCTTCAATCTATTACGCCCTATATAAATAATTTTATAAATTAACAATAAAAAATAATAGAAAAGTATCAAGTAAAATTTTTAATTATCACTATAGTGTTAACTAAAAATATTTTTTATTGATATTACCAATAATGCTTCATTTTCGTTATGCCGCGGCATAACGAAAATGAAGCATTATTTGCAACGGTTTAAATACCAGGTTTTGCATCCATTTTAAAAAACCATGGCATTCATTTAAAACATCGGGACAATCAATTAATAAAACAATCGTGATTTTCAATTAAAACATTTAACGCATACGCAACCTCAACATTTTATATTATTCAAAAAAAAGATTTATTTTAATATATATTTTTATTTTTTTTATTCAATTTTTTAAAATTATTCAAAATTTTATTATATTTAAAATATAATGTTTATCATCCAATTACTGTCGAGGTATGTAATCTGACCTAAGACACGCTTCGAAAAAGCTTTCGCAATGTGTGTAATAGTTTGATAAGTTAACATAAGGAATAGATAAGCATGTCTCACGCATTCTTGTAATTAGTTCATTTCTTCGAGCTGGGGCCGTATTTCTTCGAGCTGGGGCCGTTCATTTCTTCGAGCTGGGGCCGTTCATTTCTTCGAGCTGGGGCCGTATTTCTTTGCACGTTATTCTTAAGATTAAAAAAAATCTCTTCACACGGATTCAAAAATATGGTAGCAAATATTTTATTTGAATGTTCTGAGCCCTCATCTCAATATTATGATGGATTCTGACATTACCCATCACCAAGGTGAATTCTTCATCTGTCCCAAAAACTCGCACAACTTCATCAATATATTCTTAAAATAAAATTGTGTTGACTGAAACACTTATAGCTTCGCATTGAATAATATTTAAACCATTGACGGCCAGTATCATCGAAACGTTACGCTGCCTAGAGCGAATGATCGGGTTTGGTGTTACTCCTCTTCTCGCCCACGAATGACTGCAAAACATGTGTAAATTAAATGAACTTTCATCAATAAAAACAATATTTTGATAGCGATGAATAGGCGAGACTGAAGTATACCACCTAACATATTCAATATGAAGGTTGTTTACATCATTGTCTTTCTTCTTTCATAAATTGGTCTTCAAGATAAGTCACCCATCTCCAGACAATTGTAATCGATACATTTACATTTAAAGCATATTTAATTTCAATTATACTTCTCGTTGTATAATTGTTTATAAGCTCTTCTTCTAATTATAATTTTTCTTCTAATCTCTTCATTAAAAATAAATTTATATAATATTAAATAATTATATTAATAAAACCTCTTTTTTTTTAACAATATACAATTTTGAGAATGCACATGCGTCAAATGTTTTAATTGAACATCACGATTGTTTTAGTTGATTGCCATGATGTTTTAAATAAATGTCATGGTTGTTTTAAATGGATGTTACATGGTTGTTTTAAATGGATGTCACAGTTTTTTTTTTGTTTTGTTTTGTTTGTTTTTTGTTAATTTACCTCCCCAAGGCCAAGAAGGGCACTACAGACGAGGAGACTACTTATTGTAGTTATAACCCTCTCTCAACTCTATAAACTCCGAAACACAAACCTTGACAAACAAGGCCGCTGTGCGGAGAAACAAGTTGAGCGCGGTACTACCAGGGACGTGGTGGGAATCGAATTCGGAACCTCTCGCTTACGAATTTTAAATGGATGCAAAACCCGGCACAAGAGTTTGAAGGAGTATATAATTCGCATAAGCAATTGAAAGTCAGGAAAGAGTTCAATCAAATGGAAACGATGGTGTAAACTCAATTGTGTAATAAAGCTATATATTTTAAACAAAAATATTTAACTGTAATAACACTTTAAAAAATGTTGCGAAAATGTAACTGCAATATTTAAATCTTATCTTGTTAACAAATAAGATTGAAAAAAAAAGTATACTCTTTAAGAAATACGCAAGAAAACCAACAATATAAATAATTTCCATATTTTAAAGTATTCGTTTCAGAATGTACGTTTGCATAATATCAAAGCGTTTAAAATGTAACGGTAATTGATGTCAGTTTGAATTGATATATATATGACGCCCTACAATTGTATTTTACAATAAGTTTAATTTTAAATAAGTTTTTATTTTCTTAAAATCATATATTATTAACTAAAATTTGAAACACTGATTTAAGATCTATGAGAAAAAATGAATTTTGTGTGCGCTTTTGTCAGTGTGTTTACATGTGTAGCTTTTACAGTAGCAAACAATAAAGATCGAGTTATTCAAGCATTAGTTTATTTTTAAAATATTTCAGTAGATTTAAATGTAAACTAAATCCATAAACTCAAAGCAAAGATGATTGCTGAGAAATTTAGTAATGTTGAATCTAGAATAAATGATTCAGCAGTTATTAAAAAAAACATTGCAATAATTAGCACAACGAAAGATCAGAACCAAAAAAGTTTGAAACCACTGTCAGAACAAAATATTGGGAAAAAATACAAGTTACATGGAAACAAGCACCTTAACCAAATCAATGATCGTGTTAAACGTAGTGTTGTTTTAGCTTTACAATGGCTGAACTCGCCACAAAAACCAAAAAAATATGCATATTGTTCGTTGTTTATATTTGGTCCAAAAAATAAATTTCGTTTACTTGCCATAAAGATCACTGAGGCAAAATATCTTTTCATTTTTTTAAAAATATTTTAAAGTGTTTATATAAAGTGTTTTAAAGTATGAGTATATATTGTTCCTTTTTAATAATACATTAATAAAATAATAATATATAAACACAAAGCACACAGTTATTTTTTAGATTACTAAAAATCTTTAAAAAACTTTCAGTATTTGAAATCTTTCAAAACCTTATTAATGCCATAAGTGATGTTCTTAGCTTAGCGACAGAGCGCGCTGTTGTGAAAAAAAAAATCAAAACGCCTAGCGCCGGTTTGAAATTAGAAAATCATTAAAGTATGTATGCAAAAAAAAAAAATTCTTAAATTAAAATATAAATATTTCATATTAGATATTTTTTAAATTTTCATTTATTTTTGTTCAAATGTATTTTGTTAATAATTTTTACTATAATTTTCTTATCTTATACGTTGTATGAATATTTCATCCTACTCACCATCATAATTACGTGTATAATCATGGCCTTGGATGTTCCTATGCCTAATCAAAGCAAATCGAAAATTAGCAAGTTTTCAGTAAGTTATTTAAATTAATTTTTTAGAATAATTCTGTGTGCAAAAGGAATAGGGAGATAAGTCGAAAGTGTTGAAAATATACAGCATTCGAATATACAGCATTCGAATAATAATATTGTTAAGTATAAAGGAAAAAAAAAAAATTTAAATATCCCTCAAAAAAAGAGCACTCGATTCATTATACAAGGCTTGAAATCGTAGTTGCAACTGCACCAATTTTATATTGCTTCTGCTATAAAATGACATCTCATGACACATCTCCCTTTTCCTTTTGCACACAGAATTTGTGAAAATATGTTTTTATCTAAATTCTCGACCAGCACAATTTATTTGGCTTTTTTGCCCGAGGTATTTGTTATAATAATTAGAAGCATTATTATATATAAAAGCAAATCTATAACTGGTTGTCATTTTAGTATAATTTTATACAATTTTATACATTTTAGCCAACTAACAATGTAATGTGGTTGGCCAAACTGCATATTAAAGGCTGTGACGCCAGCGTTGCGCCAACGTTGCGCCAATTACATTCAGCCTTTGTGCCAAGAGCTAAAATAAAAGAATTTTAAAAAATGTATCAATAAACTTTTAAGAAATTAAAAAGACTTCCAAGAATATTAAACTCTGACGGATTAATGTCAGATCTTTATGTTCCGAAGAGTAGAATGTTTTGAACGTTTACAATAACAGTAAAGTAAAAAGTTAAAAAAAAAAAATGCAAAATATTGTAAGTAAGTATAAACTTGTACAAAGGTAAAAACATATATAATAATAATAAATCATTAAAAAGTTATAAATTTTGCTTTACTAAGTAAATAATTCTATAATTACAAAAATATAATAAATTTTATACATGTATGTTCCGAATGAATATAACTACTAATAAATAAATAATTTTTTAAATAGTTAATCTACAAATAAATAAAACTTATATATTATATAAATTTTATAAATTTGTAGATCAATACAATAATAACTGTTTTAAAAATTTTTAAATAGTTATATTTGTATTGTATATAAATTTTATTTATTAGTAGATCAATACAACTATTTAAAAAATATTTATTTATTATTAGTTATATTTATTTGGAACATACAAGTATATAATTTATTATATTTTTGTAATTATATAATAATTTACTTACTTAGTGAAGCAAAATTTATAACTTTTTTTATGATTTAATTACAGTTATTCTTATTTTGCCCGTGACGCTCTTTTACTTTTATTTTTTGCCCGTGACGCTCATTTTAAGTAACCATTTGCATATTATGTAAATGGTTGCTAAAAACAAGCGTCACGGGCAAAAAGTAAAAGTATTGAGTTAATTCCATTTCCACATTCTATATACTGATAATTATTATTCATTTAAATATAGGTTCAATTGAATGGTTTTTTTTACTAAAATTAGAAAAATAAAATATTAATTTCTGTTGATGCGCAACAATGAATAGTTAAGTTTTTCGTCGTTTTCTCAAAATCAGTTTACTCGCATTTTGTAAATGCGATTCTCATTTATAAAGTACGCGTAATTTATATTAAAATGTAAAGTTTAAATTTTTTTGGCTTTCCGAGCATTATCTCATTCCTCGAAATAAATAAAATTTACATATTTAAATGATTGCTTAAAATGGTGCCCCTAAACTTACAAATAACTTTTGGTTAAGAATATTTACTTTAAGGGAAAGACGGGGAAAAATGGGGAACTTTTGAAAAGCCTGTATTATTGCAAAACTATCATTCATGAAGCAATAATACTTTGTAAAGATTATGTTATTATAACTATTCATTGCTTGCATTGAGTTTTCAGTTTTTAAATTGAAAAATTTTAAATAAAAATAAAAATAAAAAGTTAATAAATTTGTCATCTGGTCACTTGACCGGGGCATAATGGCTTATTACGCAATTTCCGCCTCCAATTTTATAAAATTTTAAAAATTACCAACTACTCTAATTAATGTAACATAATATAAACACGCATTGCAAAAACTATATTTCTAAAGAAGTTACTCCCGAAGGATACCATCGATATGAGTAACCAAAACCAAGGTTATTTTTAGTTAATTTTCACTTTAATATAATTTATTTAATTCACTTTAATATTTTTGATAAAGTGTTGTTTTATTTTAACCATATATAATTTATTTAAGTATTTCACTTATATTTTTGATAAAGTGTTAAGGTATATAATTAAAAAAATTAACTAAGACTTTTTCAACATGACTTTACAATATAATTAAAAACAATTTTAATTTATTAATTTTTTCTTTTTATAAAATTCTTACATTTCGATATTCTACTGATAACATAATTCTCTCCTAAAACCAACAATTTTAACACAAAAGAATTATCCCCATATTATCTTTTTGAAATCTCTTATTTGGTTTGGTTTATTCATTATCAAAAAAGTTTATAGATGTTTTATTTTAAAATAAAGTAAACAATGTTTTAACAATTTTAAAATAAAGTAAACAAAACTATGATAGAGCATTCCTTCAAAAAAAAATGTTATTAAAATTTTTTTTAAAACAATAGTAACTTCTTAAAACCTCGGGTTTAAAGTTATTTAAGTAAACCCAAGTATTATGTGTGTGCATGGGCGTCCGCAGAACTTTTTATTGTTTTAGATATTACATTTTCACGAGTAGTGCTGTTCAAACTTAGAAGTGTTAATGCCTATGCCAAATGAAGATGTTTTGCCGAAAATCGCGATTATGAAGGCCTAGGAACAAAAATACCCTAAAAATTTTGACCCTCTTTGCCCAAATGTAGGGGAGTGATGTAGTAAAATTTTCAATTTTAACATCCTATACAAAGTTTATATTCATCGACAGATTTTATTTTATTCAGAATTCTATTCAAAAATATTGTAAAGTTCAATAGTTACGACAACGGAAAGTTTCCAACCCGACCCCCCAAAAAATTTTGCATGGCCATAACTTTTGAACTTTACAATACTTATGAATGAAATTTAAGAACTGTCGATGAGTTTAAGTTTACTATAGTGTGTGTGCATGTGTGTGTGTGTTTGTTTGTGTGTGTGTGCGTGCGTGCGTGTGTATTATAAAAGTATTTATTCAAATTATTCACAAAAAAAAACTCATAGATGTGCCTGTTGAATTAATTGATTTCTGCTTTTGTTATACTAGGATAAAGCTGAATATTTTTTTCTTGTCATTTTTGGCTCTGAAGCTCTCCTCAAAATTATTGCAAATGGTTTTGTTTTGCACCAAAAGTCATATCTTAGAAGTTTGTGGAATATCATTGACTTTTTTGTCGTTCTAATAAGGTTTTTTTAAATTCCTTTGATTAATACAGTTTATATGTTGTGTTTTTGTATTCTTTTAAATAAAGTAATTTAAAAAAATAGAAGCTAATTATTAAACTTCTGCCAGTTTAAAGTTTAGCATCTTGCTCAATAAGTTTCTTGTCTAATTAATTTAGCTTTTTTTTCAATTTTTTTTATTCAACATACTCTCCTTTGATACTGATTTATTTAATTTTAAGCTCATTTAACTTTTAATGCCATTTTTGTGTTTACCATATACATTACAGTATTGTACACCACTTCTTCAATTAGGGAATAATTATTTTATTGTAGCATGCTTTTAAGGGCTTCCAAAAATATTAGTTACAAGGTGCCAAACCTGGAGAGTACAGTGAATGGAAAACCGGTTTGAAGCATAGTCCATTCAATTTAACTATCGTTTTTATCAACTGTTATTTTTGATATAAGCTAATGATTTAAACAATGCTTATTTATTTCCATAGTGATATAAAATGTTTTTATTTATTTCCAAAGTGATATAAAAACGTTATTTAAAACGGTCAACATTTAACTTTAAAAACTAACTGAACGTTAAATGTAAATAAACTATTAGTTTAACTAAAACTAAGTATACTTTTTTCCATGAAAGAGATAAAGCTCTTTAAACACTTACAAAACTTTTTAACGGTGATTGCATTGTAAAAAGAGAATATTTAGTGAAGTTCGTAGGTTTAGTTCTTAATTTAAGCCAAGCCTTTCTTAGATACGTATAAAATATGTGTAAAAAAATACGTTTTTTATACGCCTAAAATACGTGTGTTTCTTATTTACTCCTATCTTAGTTATGAATATATCTTATAATTGTATGATGCAACACCAATATCACTAAGTGAAAAACTATTTAACAAACAAAAATATGCAGATTATGACCAAACATAGACAGTCTCTCACATTCAAACGTACAGTCTCTCAATTTCAAAACGATTACCTAGTAGCAGACAATATTGGCGCAATATTGGGGCGATATTGTTTACAATATTAGCGCAATATTGTAAACTATATTGGGCCAATGTTGCAATGTGAACATTTTGCCAATATTGGCGCTACAATATTGCGCCAATATTGTAAAGTCAATATTGGCCAATATTGGCAAAATGTTCACACTGCAACATTGGCCCGATATAGTTTATAATATTGCACCAATATTGTAAATAATATCGCGCCAATAATGGGGATATTATACTGGCCAATATTGGCCTAATATAGTTTACAATATTATCCTGATATATATGATATATATAACTAAATTAAGGCAATATACTGAGTATTTTCGATTAAATTTTTATTATTAAAAAATAATAAAAAATATTGCTTTCTACAAATTTGTAATAATTAAAATTTATAAAATTTTTCTTAAGTGATACTATAGTACTAGGCTGCATTATTCTCTTGAGTTAAACAGGTTATAGTCTAGGAGATGACAATAATCATAGAACACGCTTTAAGAAAAAAAAATTCGAAATCATTAAATTTATTTGAAGTTATATGAAACAACTATAAATGAAAAAAATAGGTATAGAGTTTTCCAAAACTAAAATATAACAAAATAAAATCAATGTTATTTAAATACACGTAAAAATATATATATATATATATATATATATATATATATATATATATATATATATATATATATATATATATATATATATATATATATATATATATATATGTATATATATATATATATATATATATATATATGTATATATATATATATATATATATATATGTATATATATATATATATATATATATATATATATATATATATATATATATATATATATATATATATATATATATATATATATATATATATATATATATATATATATATATATAACAGACCATATATATAACATACACATATATATATAAACTACTGTATTATACTCTCACTATGAGATAGTGGGCATCGACTTTCATTATATTGGCGATACTTATTTACCCTACAGATGTCATTGCTCAATATTGAGCGTTGCTCAGTTACGGTTCTATTTTTCTTTTGTTATCTCTATTAATGGCCGTCGCCAGAAAGCTGCCAATTTTTTCTTAAATACTTTTGTCAGTAGCGATTTCGAAATGAACGAATGCAACGAAAAACGACTAAACGCAACTCTACAAAATGCTTTTTAAATATCATCACAACATAATTTTGAAATATATAACTTTTCACATATAAATTTTGTAAAGTAATTAGCTTTTATTAAAATATTTATTTATTAAAAGGAAATGGGATGTAGAATACAAATTGTGCTTTACCTATAACGACCTTGCAGGACGTTTTTGTTTCATTCCATACACTGAGTATGAAAAACATACTTCTTTGGCCATTAGCTGTATTAAGATTGCCGCTGTAAGTTGTTTCTCATCTCCTCCAACCGAAGTAAGAAAGTTCATCTAAAATAAGAAAACAAATGTAATATAATTGGTTGTACTAAAAGTATAATGGTTCCTCATGTGTATGTATTAGACGGTTTTCCATAATGTGATTCTAATTAAAATATGACATTATGGAAGAAAAAAAGCAATTGGTTATAAATAGATTATGACATCTGTAGCGGTGAATACAACCTACAGATGTCATAGATATCTGAGATTAGTAGTCATTGCTACACAAAATACATTGCTAACTGGGCATAAAAGATAAAAATCACAATAAAATGTAATAAGCATTTATATAAAACATTCTGATATACAACATAATTATAGTCAATCATGTATCATATTGTATCATTTGTTTGTATGTTTCATATAAATGTATCATATATTTTAAAAATTAGAAACTTTAATTAGTACATGGTACTGTTTCCAAAAACTGTTAATTAATATCAATTTACTGATATATACTATTGATTCATAAGGTGTCTTTGTTCCATAATTTTTCTTCAAGGTTTAGAAGATCTTTTTTCATCTATAACCGGCAAATAAATTCTATAAATCGAAAGAGATAGTCAAGCAAAGCTCTGATGGAATCACTTAACCCTAAAACACTAAAGATTTCTTCAATCTTTGAGAAACTGAGAGACAATCTTATCAGTGTTACTTTTTATGTAACCTGCATCCTTTTAAGCTGGAGGCACAGATAATTCCGTTCTAAAGCAGTCTCATAACTGCCAAAAAAAAGTGTAAAGAAGAGATAAAACCATACTAAACAATCAACATTTACTATATTTAAGTCAAACATAGCTGTTTAGATAAAAAACAAAGACAATATTGTAAATAAAACAAAAAAAATATTGTAAATAAGACAATTACCAAAAAATTCTTATTTTCAGCTGCTTTCAGTTACTTTTAAAAGTGTGACTTTACGTATGGCAGTTTAAAGGCAAGATGCTTGCAAGTGATTTGGCCAATACACCAAACTTTCATTGATACACCATGAAAAACAGATTACATTCATGGCACACATATTGTTTTTTCATTGAAAAATTCAGCTAGAGCAAATTTTGTAAACTTTATTACCACCTTCAGTTTAACGGTACATCAGCTAAAAAAATAATTACAAATAAATTTATATAAAAAAACTTCAGATTAACTTTCTTTTTTGAGATATTATTAGTGAGAAAATATTAGTCTAAAAATTATTGAGATTCATTTCTTAATGTTTAATGTAATCGCTTTTTATTGCAAGTAGAGTTTAATTATTGGTTAGTAAAAAAAAGTGAATTTTAAAGTTTGCGCGGTTTGGAAAGGTTTCTATGACAATATTTTCTTATTTAAGTATGACATTAAGGAAGATAAAAAAACTTGAGGCTCTAAGTAAATATTTACCATTTTGCAATTGTACATTAGATGAACCCAAGATGCATCTAGATATTTTTTTAATGTTGTGACAGATGTTGAACACTATTTCAGATGGTAGACTATTCTACAAATTTGTGAATTCCATATTAGAAAAGTTTTTTCCGGACATCTGTATTACAAAACATTTTTCTCAATTTATAAGCATGATCGCATGTTGTTAAGTTGGAGTTAGTCATAATGGAGGAATAAATACTAACTAAATATATAATCATATATTAATATTAAGAAGTGGCCATATTAACACGCATGCGCTTATAACTCAGATTAACTCTTAATGGTCTGTAATTACAATAATAAATATAATGGCTGTGCAGATGACACCATTCTGACACAGGTGTTGATAGATAAAATACTGAATGGTATTTTATGAGGAAACAAAAGAGTTGCAACTACAATTATAAAGATTGTGAATGCATTTGTAAGTTTCTGCCATGTCATTACATAAAAAACGATAGCTCATGCTAGTTAAATTTAGTCTTAGTAGTCTTTGGTTGTAAGTGAGTCCAGTCTGGCCAAAAACAAATTTACTAGACTAGCATAGAACATTTTAAATTAATTGTTGATCTTTTTTAAGTCTAGGATAGTAGACAGAGCTGCAAGAATCAAGGTGAGGACGAACAAGGAAAATAAACAAAGTACAAAATGTCAAGATATCGAGATTGACAAATGATCTTTTGATCATTCCTACAACTTTATTAGCGGTGTTATTCTTAGTAGCTACAAAATAAAAGTCAAATTACTGTCAATGAAGATCCCTTTATTGACGAGAGAGTTTTTAATATTAATTGAAGTATTGAGATTTTTATCAACGAGTATATAAATGAATTTTGTATTTGGTCCTAAAGGAAAATTTTGTATTTGTTGGTCCTAAGGGTATAACTTTACATTTTTTTACATTAAAACTTAGTTTTCATAGTTTTGACCAGTTTGCTATAATGTCCATACTTTATTGCAGGTTATTGCATGGCGAGCTATCAAAAAGCAAACTGTATAACTTAGTATCATCTGTAAATACAGATACAAAATCTAAAACCAAATCAGAAAAATCTTTATTATATATCATAAAAGTAAATAATGGGGGACCCCACTATTTACTATTATCCATTCTGAGTATGTACCACCAACAATGATACTCTAATGCTAATCTTTTAGGTAACATTAAAATCCAATTGTAGAGTTAGTCATTTATTCTATAAGCTTTTAATTTTAGAAGTAGGAGTTGTGTGAAATGTGTTGAAAGATTTCAATATATCTGATATAATTTTTCTATATCAGTTTTATTCTCCAAGGCTAATATCCAACATCAATCCTCACTAAAGTTTATTGCATTTTCAAAGTCGCATTTATATAATTTTTACTATTTTCAGCATTACTTATTGTGTGAATTTAACTTTAGTCTTGTTTAACTACTCTTAACATAATGTGATGTAGCAGATCTAGTTTAACTTATTGATTTGTTTATTACCTATAACATTGCATTAATCTATTGCATAAAATAAAATGATATATAAAACAAAAGATGTTTTAAAAAAACTTTTTTATTGCAAAATTATTATCTTGTAATAAATTTATGTGTGCGTGTGCGTGTGTGCATATGTGCGCGTAAAGGTCAATAATATATATATATATATTATATATATATATATATATATATATATATATATATATATATATATATATATATATATATATATATACATATATATTATTGATGTTATTATGTGTCAAGCAGGGGTACCTTTTTCGTAAATTAAAATCTTAAAACAGTTAGAAACAATAATAATGACGTATTTATTTCTTAAACAAATATCTTGAACAAAATAAATAGACTATAAAACTTATATTTTATAGATGAAATTTTCTGAAAGTGTTTTTATTTAAGAGTAAACTTACTATTTTAATCTTGATACTTAAGTATAGCAATATTTTTCCTATTCTTCTCGTGATGCAATATGTTTTAAATTAATTACAACCACTTCTTCTCGTAATTTAATTCGTAATGTTGAATAAAAGAATTTTATTACTCTTATTACTTCTTCTCGTGATACTATCTGTTTCAAAATAAATTACTAACACTTCTTCTCCTGATTCACTCTGTAAATGTTGAATTAAAAATACTTTTCCTACTTCTTCTCTTTTCGTAAATTAAAATTTTTATTTTGAACTTTTATTTGTTTTTATAAAAAAATTAATAACATAAGGATGCCTGTTTATGTAAAAAGATGCTATTATTTACATTTAAACACATGTAACAAAACTAAAGGACATTATGAATATTCCTTAATGTTACGCATGCGTACCAATATGTAAAATTTAACATAAAGCCAATATTGGCATAACAATATCAGTAAATCGATAATGCGATAATATTAGGGGGGGGGGGCTAAAACTCTATATTTCTTGTTTAACCAGTTATTCTTAATTAATTTTTTGAAAAAAGTTTAAAAAACAATTCAGTTTTTGCTAATTTTTTATGGTTGACCTTGTACTTTTATTTTAAAAACTTAAAGATATAAAAAATAAAAGTCTTTGCCAAAGTTTCTTTGCGTATAAAGTTACGCAACTTTTCTTTCAAATTTATGCTATTCAATTTTTGATTGGATAAATTCGTTGCGTTTTAGAAAAAAAAAGTTTTATCTTAAGTCTTTTTCTAAAAAAACGTTTTAAATAAGTAAAACGACAAATTGCTTCAAAAATAAAGTTTTATCTGAAGTTTCTTTCTAAACAAAACGTTTTAAGTAATCAAAAAGACAGATTGCTTCATAATATCTAAAGTTCCTTTTTTTTATTTATTTAATCGTTATTCAAGCTATCAAGAAGGCTATTCAAGATTTCATTTTTTATTTCACTTTTCTTTAATGAAGTCAAGAATAAATCTTCTTTTAAAGTACCAGTCAGTAGAAGTTCAGTTAAATTCTAAAGTTTTAACAATTCTAAAGATAAACAGGCTAAAGGAACACCGCTACCTAAAAGGCTTTATAAAAAACAAACTGGGTGATCAAATTTTGAAATTTTCTGCTTTACTCTAAAACGTAGAGAATAGCTAGTTAAAAAAAATTCTAGAAGCAGTTAATAAGTATACCTCAAAGAGGTTGAATGATTGTATCATTCTTGCTAGAGTATTTTGGCAAAAGTTAGCCTCAGGACTTCAAAAAAGAGAAAAGTATTATGTGTTTGGTTGATGATGAAATATGATTAGTATTAACTTTCTATTTAAGTTGTTGCAGTTGGAAAGCTTTGGAAAAAATCCATTTAATTTCAAGAGTAGATGTATACTTAATTATTTAAACCATATAAAAAATAAGGGTTCTCGCAGTTTAAAAATATTTGGAGAATTATTGTTCAGTTAATTGTCCAAAAAGTTGAAACTACGAAATATAGTTGAAACTAAATACAAAAACAAATGGATAACAACGGAAGAGCAGCAAACTTTACATTAGGTGTGCAAGATGAGTTCTGTTTTAGCTTGATTTAGCTGTGAACTAGACATTATTAAAATAGATAAAGATATGTTAAAATGAAAAAAAAGTTCGAAAAATGAGGTTCTTTATTTTAGGGATTCAATGTAGGTCATTGTCGCGGAGGTCTATTCTGTTTAAATACATGATTGTTGATATAAAAATACAAACCTCCATCTTATGTCTACCAAAGAACACGCATATAACCTAGATGTTCTATAAGGAAAGTTCACTAGTTTTATTTAATAATGTTTTCTATAAGAAAACATTATTAAATAAAACTCAGCACAAATATCTACAAAAGTATTCGAGTAACAATTATGTTCGACCCAAAACTATAAAACTCTCAATAACTATTGGAGGATTAAGATGATCAGTTGTTGAAACAAAACTCTTGATCAGTTATAGCAAAAATTAAATAACAAGAAAACTGAGGATGATTTTTAAAATTAATTTTTAAGTCATGAAAAACTTTGATGTACATTTTATTTTATTAACTTTTATTTTATTAACTTTTTAACCACCAAATTTCACTTTAAAAATTAAAGTGAATATTTTCAAATTAAAATAAAAAAATGCCAATTTAAAGTGAAAATAGTAGTAGTAGGTTAAGTTGGCCAATTTTCACCTTAACTTAGCATTTTTTTAATTTTAGTTTGGCAATTTTCACTATTGCCAAATTAAAATGAAAAAAATGCCATATTAAAGTAAAACTTAGCCAACTTAGACGCAAAAAAGTGTTTTAGTAAATAATATTGTAGTAAATTATTCGATAATATTTTTTGACTTTTGAATGTAAAAAAAAAAAAAAAATAAGAAAAAAAAAAAGAAATTTATCATAATTTTGAATTTTACTTTTCTATCATTTTTTGATTTTTATATTTTAATTACTTTATATATTTATATATTTTTGTTTATATATTTAAATATTTTTGTTTATATATTTATATATTTTTGTTTATATATTTATATTTTTTTGTTTATATATTTATATTTTTTTGTTTATATATTTATATATTTTTGTTATACATTTAAATAACTTTAAAACAGTCTGCAATCTTGAATTATTTGGTATTTTTAAGAAAACTTCTCCTCAAACTTTTGTTTTTTATTCTCATTTTTAATTTTAGTTACAAATGCATTTAAATAAACGCGCGCGTGTGCGTTTGCATATCTGTGTTTGTGTGTTTGTGTGTGTGTGTGTGTGTGTGTGAATAGTGTGTATAAATATGTGTGTGTGTGTGTGTGCGTGCGTGTGTGTGTGTGTGTGTGTGTGTGTGTGTGTGTGAATAGTGTGTATAAACACACTGTTTTCTAGTATTTTTAAGGTAGGTTATCAAAAGTATTATTAGTTATCAAAACCAATGCTGTTTTGAGAAAAAGAAAACTATTTCGTGAACTTTTAAAAAATATTTTCCTCAACACTTATCAAGCCACTGTCGAACTTCTGAATTATTTTTCCTCATCAAAAAACAATGTTTAATAACACATTAAATTAATTTTTATTATTTGTTTTAAAAATTTCAAAACGTGAGCGCGTTGCTAAAATGTCAACGAATTATCAGAACTTTTGACATGTATTTTTTAAAAGTTATTATTAATCAGAATTAAATATATAAAAACATAAATGTATCAGACTAGAGACATATTGAGTAATATGTTATTCGTAAAATTTTTAAAAGTATTTTTTATATCTTTTAGTTTCACTGTTTTGTTTCAAAATCGAATTAAAAATTCTAACGTAGAATATTCTCTCGATGTAAGAGCAGTTCGTGCAGTTCGAGTATTGCGTCCTCTTAAGTTTATTACAATAATTCCAAGTAATTTATTTAATAATCTTTACTATTGAAAATACTCTAAAAACAACTTTTTATGAGTAACTTCACGTTTTTAGGTGTACACATCATCATGACATCTATTATGAAAGCAGTTGTACCACTTTTGAAAGTATTGTATCTTTTTAGTTTCATGATTGCAATTTATGCTATCATTGGTTTACAGTTTATGGTCAACAGATTTAAATACAGCTGTCAAAACGATCTGACAAAAAATTGTAAGTATAATTGCAACGAATCATTTTTTTATGGTTAAAATAGTTTTCTTGAAAAATTTAATGTTTATTATTATAATAATTGGTACTAATTTTTTGATTACTTGAACAAAAAGTTTTTTTTTTATAAGTGAATGCATGGTCCACTTAAATACTGTATTTAAGTAGGCCATGGTGAATGTTAACTTCACAATCTAAGCAGAAGTTATTTAGAATTTGAAAAATGAGATGATTATAGTGAAAAGTTTTTCTTAGGTATTATATAATACAACTTCCAATTTTGTTTTTTTAATTATTTTTCCAATAGTTAGTTATTATTATAATAATAACAGTATTAGTAGTATAAAAAAATATTTATTCAAGAACAACTAAAAACTAAATATTTCGTCAGCTCGGAATACAAGTGTCGTACCGAAAGTTATTAAAATTATATATAAATATGTCTAATTTATCTAAATTTAACACTATGTTAATGAAATTTTTTTTTTTTTACTCAATAACCTTATTTTGTAACGTAATATAAAAATATTTTTTTACATTTAGATAAATTTAAATTTACATAAATTTAATAATTACATATTTACATATAATTTAAAAAATTTCTTGATAAGACACACAAAAATTTTTTTTCGATAAGATAAGCAAAAACTGAACTCCTAACTTTTAATTATTGCTTATATATATGCTTATAGCATGGATTTCAAAACACTTAACAATAGCAAAAAGGGTTCTTTCTTATTTTGCAAAGATAACACATAGAGCCGTCCCAAAGAGATCTTAAACGGGGGTAATGAATCTGTTTTTTCCAACTATCGACTTAAAAACAACGTAATAAGACAAAAAAAATGTCCTTGTTTACTGACATACGTCAACTGCAGCCTAAAAGGTCCAAACTTGCCAATTGTAGGTCCAAAATTACCGACTAACTTTTGAATAAAGTACTCGTTTGGATTAGACACCTCCTTTGGGATAACCCTCATAAAACATCATATTTAACCATTAGCAGTTTTCTTTTTATATTTTTTCATCTAAATATTTGTATTTAAACATAAAAATTTAACTATCTATTAGCTATACTGAATAGTTATAACTATCTACACTGATTTGCTTTGAAATATTGCAATAAAGACCCCCGCGCCATGTAAATTTATTACAATATTTAAATAAGTAAACTAAAAAAAATAAAAGAAATAAATATATTTCTGTTTAAAATCTGTTTGTAAAAACAACTTTTTTTCCCACTAGAAAACTTTGTCAAATATGCAAATGTCAAAAAGCATCAAAACTATGGTATGGACCCAGAGGCGATTTTACGGGTGTGTGTGGGGTTGTTACACCCTTTCCCCCTAAAGAAGGTGAATTTTAAATTATAGTCGGTTTTTTTTACTAATTTAGTCGGTTAGTCGGGTATTTGACACAATTTAGTCGGCTAAAATTTAATTTTGTTGACTTTTTTTTTTTTTTAACGAAACTAGTTGGTACTGGTTACGTAAAAAAACTTAGGATTACACCCCCTCCCCCCACACACAATCATTTTATTTGCAGAATCGCCTCTGTATGGACCTAAAAAAGTTAGATATCTAGGTAAAATTTTAGCAATGAAAATCAACCTTTTTTGTTTTTTAAAAAAGCATGAAAATTAAAGGGTAAGTAAGTAATGGTAAAACAAGTTTTTCTTTCACAAACTTTAATCAACGTTTAAATCTAATTTGAATTTTATTTCGAAAATTTTTGATTTTATTACAATTGAATCTAAAATAATATATAAAACCTAATATAAAACATTAAAATTTCTATACGATATTATATGTTTTATAAAATCGTATAGATATTATCTAATCGAGAAAAGCTAGCGATATTTTTAACGATAAAAACAAGGTTTGGTCCCAATGATCGCTAGCTAAATAAGCTAGAAACTTGCTAGCGACAACTTGTTACGATAAAGACAATGATTTGAACACTAAATCCCTGTCTTTATTGTTAAAATATACACACACACGTGTGTGTATATATATATATATATATATATATATATATATATATATATATATATATATATATATATATATATATATATATATATATTCATATATATATATATATATATATATATATATATATATATATATATATATATATATATATATATATATATATATATATATACAGTGGCGTAGGAACAGGGAGCAGAGGGGGTGATAGCCCCCTCCTAAAACACTGGGGGGGGGCGGACACTTCATTTAGCCCCCTCTCCCCCCCACCCCCTTTCCTAAACAGTTTAATAATTTTTTTTTATGATATCAACAGCTGAATTATCATTTTCCAGTCTACAATGACTCAATCACAATTAAACATCTCCATGGAAAAGTATATCCATAAAACTGTTTAGATACTATCGCATACTAACTGTTTTCTAAATAAATGTGTGCTGGCAAAAGATGACTACAGTTTTTCATGAAGTCGTTGCGCTGAAAAACATGTTGTTAAAAGGTAGTTATAGTAAAACATACATGTTGCTTTTTATAACCATTTAAAATTTTAAAAACAGACTAGACTAAATTTTAAAAACAGAAGTAAAATCGTGCTTATAAAGAATATGCTTAAAGTTTATTAACCTTGATATTATTTAAATCAATACAATAGAACGTTCGAAATGCGAAAGAACGTAATACAATTTTAAAATACAATAGAATGTAAAGTTAAAAAAAAAAAATTGTAGTTTATTGATAACGTTTTTATCTAGTTTTTTTATGTTCATACAATTTTTTAAATTGTTATTTTGTAACTACATTGTTTCAGCTTTACTAAATGAAAAATTATTTAATTCAAATATAAATTATTAAGTTACAGTATTTATATTATCTTATCAATCCGATTAACAATGACTTTGAAGCGTAGACGCATCGAGGATTTTTATCAACCGAAACTTACCGCATTAAATGTTAGCCTAGAGTGAGTTTCCGTTCTATCTATTTCCGTAACGCAAACTCTACTGTAGTTAAAAAATCCATTTAAAAAAATCAAAAACAACACCTAATATTTAGCCTTAAAATTTACTATGTAACTTTTTTTTTTTACTTACAGACAGGGGTCAAAAGATGCTAATACCCCACAGACGGAGGCATCCTCCAGTCACAGTCAGAAAAATGCAGAATTCTGTACTGATCAAGAAAGTGAAATAAGTCAGCAAGATATACCAGACAGTTAAGAGTAAATACAAAGAAAGAAACGTTGACAATAACTGGTGCACAAGCCTCACAGTCATATTCAGTAACCTCTACATCATACTGTAATGCCCTATGTTGCAATTCAAATATGACCTAGGCCTACCAACCAGATGATGAATGTATACTCAAAATGACAAAAAAAAAAAACTGGAAACAAAAAAGAGTTTAGAATGTTTCAAAAGTCATGGTACACTAAATGGTCGTGGTTAACACTATGCGTAACAAGGTATAAAGTATTTTGCTTCTATTGTCGATTTATTGATAGTATCAACAAACTTGACTTAAGCAAAAGAAAGGAACCTGCCTTTGTGACAACAGGATTCGATAATTGGAAAAAGGCAGTTACTAAATTTAACTTCCTTGGTCTATATAAACTAGAGCTATTAGATGCCGACTCTTTAACAAAAACTGTTAAAGATGTTCTACTCCGATTTTCATTAAGTCTAGAAAACTACCGTGGCCAAGCTTATGATGGAGCAGCAAATATGACAGGATATTTACGTGGCCTAGCGGCTTATTTGAAAGAAGAAAGCAACGCAGCAATTTCTGTTCATTGCTTTGCACATTGTTTAAACTTGTGTTTGCAAAACTGTACCAGACAATGCACTTTGATCCGGGACAGTCTTTCACTTGTATCTGAAATTGCTAACATGATAAAGAATTCACCTAAGAAATTTACTGTCTTTGATAAAATCAGGCAGCAGATGTCGTTTGATAAGAATGACAGAGATCCCATTAAGAACCTGAAGCCATTGTGTCCTACCCGCTGGGCTGTTCGTTCTAGTGCCTTTGAAGCATTGTTAGAAAAAACGAATTACAAGTCTTTTATAAATGCAATGGCAGAAATTGGAGAATTGGTATCAGATAACTCTGGGTCCAAAGCGAGGGGAATATCGCAACAGCTTCAAAAATTTGAAATATATTTTAGCATGAAATTTAATGCAACAGAACAGGCTTCAGGTACGTTGCAAACGAAAGCATTGTCCTTAATTGAAGATATGAAGTGTGTCACAGTCACCAAACAGTATTTGCAAAGATTAAGAGATACATCGTTTAATCAGTTCTACAAGGAAGTAAAATCTGAAGCTGATGATTTGGAAGTAAGTGAGCCATCAATTCCACGGACTCGAAAACAACCACGGTGGTTAGATTCTGGCTCAGGACCTCATATTTTCACAGATGTTTCTGATTATTTCAGACAAAAGTTTTATGAAGTTGTTGACCTCTTGATTGGTGAACTTGATTTAAGATTTCAGCAGCCATCTGTAAAAAACGCCATTAATATGGAAACGCTTTTATTGAACTCGGCAAACTTAGAGTCAGAAACTATCGAGATAGATCCATCACTGTCAAAAATGTACCCTAACATCGACAGGACAAGGTTAACATGGCAACTTCACATGCTACCTGAATTAATAAAACAGAGCAAAAGCAACAAAGTAAAGCCAATTACTAAGATAACAACCATCTCAACATTAGTTGAAATATTTGCTGAAAATGATGTATCCAAAATGTTTATGAAGTGTCTAAAGTTCTAAGAGTCTTTCTTGCTATACCGGTCAGTACAGCAACATCAGAAAGATCATTTTCCAGTCTAAGGAGGCTAAAAACATATCTCCGTTCTACTATGAATCAAAAAAGATTAAACAGCACGATTCTGAGTCATACTCATAAAGATATTTTGGAAGAAGTTGACATTAACACTATTTACAAAGAATTTTTTGCGCTGGCAAGAATAAGATAGCGCAAGAATTTGCGCTGGCAAATGATGAGCGT